TCAACTCCCAGAATTCCCCAGCCAGCATTCGCTGGCTGGGGAATTCTGGGAGTTGAAGTCCGGACATCTTCAAGTTGCCAAGGTTGAGAAACACTGTTCTATATAATATACTATATAATAATATATAATATATATTTCTAGCCAATACGAAGAGAAGGAAAAAGCTTTTAAGGAGCAGCTCTCTCACCTGGCTTGTATCCTGCCAACCCTCCAGGTAAGGAGGGACCAACTCCCACCCACCCCTCTCGCCTCCCCAAACTTTGCACCAAGATATCCCGGGCATGAAGCCCCCCCTCTCCCCCCACCGCCTCTTCCCCTTTTGCAACTCTTTTAATTTCCTTGGTGGCAAATGGCGCCTGTTTTCCGGCTTTAGGTGCACCTGGTCACCTGTTCTGCGTTTCTCAGTTCGGCCAACAAAGCCGAATTCCTGGATTTGGGCTATGTAAGTCGGATTTCCCTTCCTCCGGGAGGGTCAGGGGACATGGGGGGACTTGAACCCAGGGCTTCGAGAGGCTAGAGGGGCGGAGGGATGACGTGGTGGTCCCCCTTTGTGATCTTTGGAGCAGCAAGGCCGACGGGGGAAGCCCGATTCACTTGAGGACACTGCGCAACGATGGCGGTGGTTCACTTAACAACGGTGGCCAGAAAGGGCGTAAAACGGGGCAAAACTCACTCAATAAATTTCTCGCTCAGCGACGTAAAGGTCAGGGGTCGGTTGTGGTTGAGTGGTTTCTTTTGCTTCCAGCAACTGATGGAGCGCTTGCAAAGGATCGTCAAACAGCCCCATCGGTTGAGGCCCTCGCAAACCAGCAAGGTGAGCGAAACCGGGATACGGCTGATAAACCCCGATAATTGGTTTATTGAGAGGGGAGCTAAGCTAACAGGCCTGTCTGAGCAAAATTCTGGTCCTCCCTCCCTCCGTCCATCCCTCCCTCCCTTTTCCTTCCTTCCACTTTCCTTCCTTCTCTCCTTACCTCCCTCCATTTCCTCCTTCCCTTCCTTTTTTCCTTCCTTCTCTCCTTCCTTCCTTCCTTCTCTTCTCCCTCCCTCCATTTCCTCCCTCCTTTCCTTCCTTCCTCACTTTCTTTTTCCTTCCTTCCTCTTCCTTCCACTCTCCTTCCTTTCTTCCTCTCTCCTTCCTTCTCTCCTCCCTCCCTTCATTTCCTCCCTCCTTTCCTTCCTTTTCCTTCCATTCCTCACTTTCTTCTTCCTTCCTTCCTTTTCCTTCCTTCGACTCTCCTTCCTTTTTTCCTTCCTTTTTTCCTTCCTTCTCTCCCTCCATTTCCTCCCTCCTTCCTTCCTTTTCCTTCCTTCATTCCTCACTTTCTTCTTCCTTCCTTTTCCTTCCTTCCACTCTCCTTCCTTTTTTCCTTACTTCCTTCCCTTCCTGTCTCTCTCTTTCCTTCCCTTCTTTTTCCTTCCTCTCTCCCTTCCTTTTTTCCTTCCTTTCCTCCCTCCCTCCTTTTCCTCCCTCCTTTCCTTCCTTTCTTTTCCTTCCTTCCTCACTTTCTTCTTCCTTCCCTCCTTTTCCTTCCTTTTTTCTTCCCTGCCTCCCTTTCTTCCCCCTTTCTTTCCTCCCTTCCTTTTTTCCTTCCCTTCCTTTTTTCCTTCCTTCCTTTTCCTCCCTCCCTTACTTCCCCCTTTCTTTCCTTCCTTCCTTTTTTCCTTCCCTTCCTTTTTTCCTTCTTTCCTTCCTTCCAGATCAACAGCGAATATCGGGCTGAGTTCGCCCACTGCCTGGAGGCCCTGCTACCCTTGTCCCCACGCCGGTCAGTGGTGGGCGCCACAGGAGCCATCGGTCCCGGCCTGAGCAACAGCAACATGTACGTCTCTCGTTCAGTGGGCACCCTAGAGGTCACTTAGCCCATGGCCACAGCTGGACCTGACTGCATCGCCCCCAGCTTCCTCCTTATTGGCTAGGCAGGCGGCTGAAGGCGGGGCTGGCCAGCAGTGGCAGCCACTCAAGTCCTAGGGAAGGGGTTCTAATGTGCCCCCCCCCAACTAGGAAGGCTTAGTTAGCCGCTCTCTCCCACCCTCTCTCTTGCTTGGAGGACTTCAGTCCAGCCAGCTGGTGGGATAAGGCAGGACTTCAACTCCCAGAATTCCCCAGCTGTCTACCTGTCCCAGGTACTTGGGAAGGACTCAAGAGGTGGATCAAAAAAAACCCTGCCAACTCTGATCTAAAGTGTCCGATTCGGCAACCGACTGTTAATACAGGAAGTCCCCGACTTACAACAGTTCGTTTAGCAACCGTTTGTTCAAAGTTACAACGGCACTGGAGAAAACTCACTCAAGAGCCGTTTTTCACACTTGCAAACCTCAACATTCAGAGGCTCGGCAACTGGCATGTACTTAGGACGGTTGCCGTGTCCCAGGGCTGTGACTTGCTCACCAAACTACCTTTTCATTGGCTTCCCGACTTTCCAAGAAAGGGCTAATAAACTCCGTTTTTCTCTTGGCTTCTAGGATGTCCGGGGGTCCCGGCTCCAAGACCCTCTTAGTGGCCGGCTGTTCGGCGTCGCATGAAAAAATCCCCCTGGATGGATCGCCGGTGAGGAAGGCGACGATGCACCGATACATCAGCACAAAAGTCCTTTTAGCCGAAGGGAGGGAGACGCCGTTTACCGACCACTGCCGGGACTACGAGAATATGTATCGGGTAAGGAGGGCGGGATGGGAAAAACCCCACCCCCCGCTTCCGTTTGCCTCCTTTGCTTAACGACCGCCACGAGAACGGTCGCAAAACCAGTCACGACGACTTAACGGTCGTGGTGGCTTACGAGATTCGATTACGGTCGTTAAATTGGGGGCTGCTTGTACAAAAAGTGAAGAATAGTGTGGAAATAGTCCTCAATTGACGCCCATTCGTTCAGCGAAGTTGCAACAGCACTGAAAAAGGACTTGTAGCCAGTCCTCGCACTTACGACGGTTGCAACCCCCACCCACCCCCACGATGACCTGATCCAAATTTCAGGCGTTTGGGGGGGTGTCACACGATTGCCAATTTGCGGCCTTCCCAGCCGGCTCCCGACCAGCGGAGACAATGCAGGAGGCAGATTTGCTTAACAACCACTGGATTCACTTAACGACAGGAGTGATTTGCTTCACAACAGTGGCAAAAAAAAAAAAGGTTGTAGAATTGGCTACAGCGACTGGGAGCGATTTGCTTCGCAACAGTGGCAAAAAAAAGTTTGTGGAATTGGGCTCGACTCATTCAGCGACTGGCTTGCTCAGCAATGGAAATTCTTGGTCATAAGTCGAGGACTGCCTGTAATGTATCAGGACAACACGGTTCTATGCATAGCGACATCCCAAAGAGAGGCCCCCCCACCCTGGAATTTGGGGGGTCTGTTTTTTTCG